GGGAAAAACTCGTTCCAAGGTTTGGAGGCCTAATGAAATATCAAGGGATTTGAATGCTTTGCTGGAAATCAATGTAGATTGCAAACAAGCTTGGCGTGCAAAACAATATGCTATGGAATTGTTGTTGGGATCCTCTGAAGAATGTTTTTCCAAACTTCCTATTTATTTTCACAATTTGAAGAGGCATAATCCCGGTACAGTGGCCTATATTCAAACAGATTCTGAAGATTGTTTCGAGTGTTGTTTTTATGCCATTGGGAGCACGGTAAATACAAAAAACTTGTTGTTATTCAATAAAAAAAACAAATTTTAAACAAAATATAGAGTGTTTATGTGTTCCATTTTAATATATTGTAGATACGAGCATTCAAACGTTTTTGTCGTAAAGTTATAATTATGGATGGTGCTCATTTGAAGGGTGATTTTAAGGGAACCATATTGCATACAGTAGCTATGGATGGGAACAACCAGATACTGCCCCTTGCGCACGAAATATGCAAAAAAGAGAGTGGTCTTACTTGGACATGGTTTCTTGAAAAGTTGTATGAATGTGTTGGTGATTGTCAAGAATTGACTTTTGTCACTGATAGGGCCGATGCAATTCGGGTTAGTATTGAAAATGTTTTCCCACATGCTCATCATGACGTGTGTGATTTTCATCTACTAGGAAACATAGTACACAGGTTTGGGAAAATGATAAAACAAAAGTGTTGTTTTGGAGGCTTGTGAAAGCTTACAAAAGAAATGTTTTTGAAGAATTGTTGTATATATTTAGTTCTACTAGGCCGCAAGTAGCAACGTATCTAAATGAAATTCCCTGTGCTAAGTGGACTAGAGCATATTCGCTATCGAAACGGTACAATTACATGACCTCGAACAGTGCATAGTCCATGAATGCTTTATCTGTAGATGCAAGGAAGATGCCTATAATACCCCTTCTTGAGTTCTTCCGTCGTCTTTCACAGGAATGGTGTAACAAGCGTCGCATCGAAGGAGGTATGAATTTAATTTGGACTTTAATTAGGTCGAATAATAAGTTAATTATATATATCTTCTTTACAGGGAAACGTTCAACAGTGCTAAACGAGTGGGCTGAAAAAGTAGTTAGTAAAAATGAAGAGCGTACGACAGGATGGTCCGTTTCTGGTGTTTCAGATGCAATATATCAAGTTCATGATTTCAAACATGGTGACATAGTTGATCTGAGGCAAGAGACTTGTACATGCAAATATTGGGAAGGAACTGGGTTGCCTTGTGGTCATGTCATAATGGTCTTGAAGGACTTGAAAAAAACTAACTTCGGACATCTGGCTATAGATGCTTACAAAATGGAAACGTACCAAAAAACGTATGAGGAGCCGGTTTACCCCCTTCCAGAACCGTGTGATTGGGAGATTCCTGCTGAGATGATGGTTGTTAAACCCCCGATAATGGATACACGTCAAGCTGGTAGACTGAGAAACAGAAATCGTATCCCGTCACAAGGTGAGGAACCTATAGTAAGAAGGTGTAGTAGATATGATAGTACAACACATAATGTAGCGACTTGTCCGACATTGGTCCCAAAGAAACAAAAAAAAGGCTACAAAAAGTAGTGCAACATCAGGTAGTAACACAAAAGGGAAAGGGAAAGGGACAGACGGGACTCAGGAGACGCTAGATACGCACGAGACATAAGAGACGCGTTGGACGAGTGGGGCGCAGAGAGAAGACTATTGTTCAACGTTTGATTTGAATGATTGATGTTGTATTTATAATTAATTATGTTTTGGTTTAGAGGACACTAATTTGTGTACTTTGAAATGGTGCGTTTATTTTAAAGATGATGGGTAATATTATGATTATATTAGTGCATAATTACTAGTACAATAATAACTACTACTCGAAGATAATACATTCAACAAACCAGAAACATATATTAAACGTACAACAACAGTAATTAACTTAAGGGAATTGCAAAGGATACTTTTTCTTTCTCCATTGTTATGTAGTCGTCCCTAATTCTTATTTTATCTTCCATACGGTCCTTTTGGATACCAAGTTCTATCATTTCTGCATCCTTGTCAGCAAGCCATTTTTCAGACAGTTTGATATTCTTCTTAGTTTTTTTATCCAATCCTCATGATCTTTGATTTTTTTTAGTAATCGTCTTCATTTCCTCAACCTCTTTGCACTCCGCCGCAATGACGTCACAACGTTCAGTGAGAGCTCGAGATGAGTCTTTATCTTTTTTTTGTTGTTCTTCAGCCCATTGTAGTTGTTGCAAAGTATCCTCCGACATATACGGCTCTCTTAAATTTGGTGATGGGGCAAGAAAAGAGTCGATCAGATCACAATAGAAACAATCAACTTCGTTGCACGAGCAAATATACAAAGTTAAAGATGAACTCATTTTAAATTTAAAAAAAAAAATTATAACTCTATACCATAAATCCAACGACCATCCATGACTATATATACACTGCTTGCATCGATTCATGGATCATTTCAATGATTGTTGTTATTGGAAACTCATGCGTGTTTGTTTTAAACCAATTGACGACAACGGGAATGTCAATGAATTTAACATTGAAACGTACTCTTGGAAAACAAGCTCGTACCCATTTTGCAATGGGAATATTGTCAAGCCAATCAAGATCATTCCCATTAACCTCATTTTTTAAGTTGTTCAAACATGCATAAAAATGAGATAAATTATACGCTTTACAAGTCTTCCAGAACAACTGCTCTACGACTGTATTGCTTTCGATGGAAGCGCACATTTTCTCGGCTATATTTTTACAACAATAGCCATGATATGAATCAGGGTAGACTCTTTCAACTGTAAAGTCTATAGAATCTGACATATGGGTTATGAAACCAACTTCTATATTGTCACCCAAACATTCTTTAAGCCTCCTCATGAACCATAACCATGAATTGTCACAGTATATAGTTCCCAAAGCAAACGCTATGAGAAGGGGTTCATGATTTCCATCTAAAGCAACCGCAATGTACATGGATCTTACATACGCCCCAATTAGAGGTACTTGACCAACGAATATGATTGGTATCATAGACGTGAGAAACGTACGAATCTGTAAGTCAACATGTGTTGGATTAGGCATGTAACAACTTGAAATAACTAAATATTTATGTACTATAAGGGATTACATACCACGCATCCCAATGCCACGAAACAAATTTGGAAACGATTGTACTGATCTTTCCTAATGTACGTGTAGGTGTTAGGATAGGTTCTTTGCAGATTATGGAAAAAAGTCGGTAGGCTGGAGAAACTTTTTCTTAATACCTGATTGACTGAACGCATTTTCACAACTTTGGATGCCTTCTAAAAATGGAAATTCTTGTCCAATTTATAAGGAATTAGTATACATTATTCCGCAGAACTTACTTGTCAGTCCGCGTAAATGACTTGTCAGTACGCGTAACTTATTTGTCAGTCCGCGTAACCTGTTTGAATGTATGGTTTTTAAACTTGGGAATTATTTTTCATAGAAAAAAGGATAAATACCATATTACATATAATTAAAGCAATACAAGAACAATACAAAACGCAGTACTAGTTTAAAAAACGAGACATTTTTCAAAAGATTCCAAGGGGCTTCATACTCGAAACTCTGTCCGTTGCTAATGGATTTGTATTCTTCTTTAGCCACCTCCAATATGTCTTCCTCAGTATCATTCACACGATCGTCTTCAATCTTATTATAAAGATCGTTGAATAACACAACTTCTGTTTTCAATTCATACCATTTTGCAGCTATATCAAGCGTGCTGCGATGGTTTTCTATGGTGGTTTCAGCTTCAGTGTTGAAGGTATTCGTTAATAGGACCCAAAACATTCTATCCTCCAAACTGGTGTTCTCGTAGACATTAATATATGCACGAGTTAGAAGCAAATACTCGTTAGCGGTCCATGGGTTTGAACCCATTGTAAAACATACAAACTACATGAACTAAAACAGATTAGATGAAGTGATACATAATTTTTTGTCGTTTTATATAGACATGACAGTCCGCATAGCTATTTGTCAGTCCGCGTTACTGACTTGTCAGTCCGCATAGCTATTTGTCAGTCCGCGTTACTGACTTGTCAGTCCGCATAGCTATTTGTCAGTCCGCATTACTCACTTGTCAGTCCGCATAGCTATTCGTCAGTCCGTGCGTTACTGACTTGTCAGTCCGCATAGCTATTTGTCAGTCTGCATAGCTATTTGTCAGTCCGTGTTACTGACTTTGTCAGTCCGCGTAGCTATTTTTCAGTCCGCGTTACTCACTTGTCAGTCCGCGTTACCTATCTTTTTATATATAGTAAAGCAAGTATCTATACATCCAAATTAGAGGTAAGGGATCATTACACAAAATGGCATCCAATGTACCAACGTCTTCAAATGCAGCTAATCTGTCTAATGCGTCTGCTCCAACTAATTGTACATCTCCATGGACGACAACAGAGGTGTTGGTCCTAACACGATGCTGGATTACCGTTTACGAGGGTCTACCGGTAATAGCTCCCCTTAATTGCCTTCTTGGTGATGAATTGTCCCGCTTAGTAGCTTTGTTCAACTATAACATGGGACAAGGACAAAAACGACTAAAACCCGATATTGTTAGTAAATGGATGCATTTAAAGACTAAAGTCACATGGTACAATCGATGCTACAATTATGAGAAAATGCGATGCTCTGATGCTGATGATGAAGAACTTCTTGAATACGTGAACGGATATTACCTGTGCCAGTTTGATGAAACTGAGTTTGAGTATACGGACGTTTGGAATCTGGTTAGAAATAAACCCTTTTTCATGTAGACGACTCATTTATTCATAATGTTCTATGTAATGTTTGTTAGTCGTTCATCTTTTATTTGCAATGTTTTCTGTAATGTTATTATGTTATTTCAAATGTTTGTTTTGTTTTTAATGTATCGTAATATATGTTGGTGAATTATGTTTAAAAAAATATATGATACAAAAGTTGTTTGTATTAAACAAAACTACTAAAAACATGTATTTCATAATAATGTATACAAACTTCCAAACATCAAGTTATTTAGTATCCCAAATAATATTTGTCATCCTATTTCTGTAGAGAAATCCCGCATCTCTACATGGCTTATCACTCTTCACCAGTACCCCCGAAGCAATCATTTCCATATACATGCTTACAAATACTCCATAATCCCCTCTATTAGCAATATATTCTTGTTGTGGCGCATCTACAATATCAATAAACTCCACAACTGCGTTCTCTTTGTGTCTATCGGGGAAATCCTTCCAGTAGTCAATCGCATCTAGCTCTTCGATTATACTATCCCCAAAACTTTTGAATTCTCCACCAGTCAAGTACGTTGTGAAGTAATTCATACATCGTGCTGAATCATAAATGTGTACTTTCCAAATATCTAAATGTAGCACTGCTAAAAACCAATGGGCATGAGGAACGTTTATGGGGAATAGAACCTGCAAACAAAAACAAATGTAATAGTCATTAATTCGTTTCCTATAAAAAATAAATAATTAATAAACTTAACTAACCATATCCACATCCTTCCATTTAGGATGGCCTCCGACACCATTTGCAATATTCCTAAGAAAATATGTTTTTCCATTTTGCAAATTAAGTTCTTGAGGGAATATCGTCCACCTTGCGTTCGCCGGCCGTCTTTCCATGAGCAAGGCACTCCATATCGCAATATGTTGTACATTTTAAGATAAAAATTTTAGAGTTTTTTATATAAATTATCGTGTAAATATGTAGTTAAAATTTATATTTAACGAATGTTACCGAAGAAATTAACCACCAGCGTCAGTAACTTCAAGTAACCTCGACCAAAACTCCACATCCAGTGTCAGCATAGGCAGCCTATGTTTAATGTTCAGCTTGGAAGAGATACTATTCCATTCTTTCAAAAAAGTCAACGTACTGGCAGCTTCAAGACTGTCGAGCAGCTGATGATTTGAAACATTATTACTCTCTTCATTCATAATGTCTTTATTTGCTTTTTCAGGACTCTTCACCACTTTTTTTTCTTTGCTTTGGTGATTTTCTTCAATTTTGGTGTGGATTGCATCTAAAAAATTATCATGTTAAATAATTATCAATACGTTAATATTTAAAAAATATACCAAATTTAAAATATGAGTTTTGTACCACTGTGAACGGAGTCCTCTGATACCATGGAACACCCCTATTTCGTTGATGCCTAACAATAGGAGTCATTTCTTTTGTGTGATGTTCAGCCACGTCCAATGACGACTCAACATGCGTACGTGTAGACTCAAATTCCCCCTCCAAACCATGACTACCTATATTATCATAGTCAAAATGTGTATCTTCCTCCTCTTCATTTATCATCTCTTCCTCCTCTCGAAACCTTCTGTCTGGTTCAAAATTTGTGTCGAGTTCATCTTTTTTCTGTAATACACGGTCTACTTTGGAACTTAAGTCAGCAACAATGCCTAGTAGATGCTTCACTAATGCCTTTGTGCTCATCTTCTTCTTCTTTTCCAATCTTGATGTGTCATGTGACATATAACTTGTTCCTGTTTCAAGATGTTGCGAGGAAGAAGCATTTGTCGTAGATTCAGTCGAAGATGTTTGTATTTCAGACTTGTACATCCTTCTTCGAGCAGGCGAGGAAACAGGAGGTGGACTATTTTGGACGAGACTATGTTGCCGTGGGGGAGACTCTACAGGGTTAAGAGTCCAATTGACATAACGAACATAAAACGGCAACATCAGCTCCTCCGGGTTTGTCTCGACATTAATAGGTTCGTTGTTAGGCTGCAAAAATCAGATTGTTAGTTTAACATGAAAATATTTTGGAATTTGTAAATATTGATGATTGTTAATATAAAAACTATACCACATACACGTTGATTATTCGACAACATTGAACCCAATTCAACGGTGTTTTACTTCTCCACGCCCTCATCCGTGGCAATTCTGTCGGTGTGCGTATATAAAACTTGGTTGCCTCTAGGAACGTCTCCAAAATCCATATCTATGAAAAAAATGTAAGTAATGTTCTATTATACTATAAAAGTCATGATACAAACTTATAATATAATACAAAACGAAGTTCGTTCAAATTTTTGTAGTATAAACAACTAAACAATGATAACTATTAAAATGCATTAGAAACTAACTTTAAACGGAAGCATAAAACCGCGAACGGTATACTTGTGTACTTTCTTCAATTCGGGATTGGCCTCCTTCAATTCTCTAAACTCTTCTATTTTCTTAAACATTCCACGCATCATACGCGAAGTATATTTCCAGAAATACGTACCCCATGAAAACCTGCAATTTTCAATTTATTTATTATAATTAGTGAATTGCATACTAATGCGGGAATGCCTGTTTTAAATGTAATACCTGTTCCAATCATCTATATTATCAGCAAGCTTCTATACTGCGGCAGGAATGCAGGTTTTAACGTCCCGTCCGTGTAGACCCTTCAACATAAAAACAAGCTGGATAAGCATCACAACATCTTCATCTTGTAGTGCCAAATAATTCGGGGACATAATTAAGTCTTCTAAATTTTTCAGCCGCAGACGTGCATCAGAAATCTCTGGAAACAACCGAGCATGGAGATTTGAATTTGACTGACCCTTTTCGTCATTGAGTAAATCCACATAAGGACCAACTTTTAAACCACAAGTCAAAATCTATTCAGTTTCACCAAAACCCGACTGGATCCCCTCTACATCAAACATAAACCTCCCCATCTCAAATATTTGTTGACACCTTACTTTGTGTAACATCATCTTATGCACAAGTAAGGGATCACCATGTGGGATATGCATTCCTAAGAATATTCCAAAGGGGGAAGCTTCGAATAATACTCGTTGTGATTGTGTTAGGCGCGGAAAATAGTCTTTAATGATAGTCCCCACCACGTCTTTCAAAGTTAAATTCGCTTTTTGATTAAGATCTTCGTGCTACACAAAAAAAAATTATTATTTCATTTAAAAAATTAATAATTGAAAAAAAAATTAATATTATTCCATTATGAAATAAATAGCAACATACTTAAAAATAGAAAAATAAAATTTTTGCAAAAACCATCACTCCGCGGAGGCTAGAGGTCATTCCGCGGAGGCATCTCTGCGGAGTGACATCTAGCTTACGCGGAGTCTGCAATGTTGGAAACACATCACTCCGCGGAGGAAACACATCACTCCGCGGAGAAACCTCCGCGGACTGACGCCCCCCTCCGCAGAATGGATCATCCGCTTTTTGAATCATATTCTGTAAACCTAAAAATCCTAAATCTGTATACATATTCAATGTAATCAAATGAGTTTTCCTCTAATTTGAATCGTATTCGACATTAACAATTAGATGAGAATGTGAGAAATACCCGGGAAACGTATCCATCGGCCATTACATCGGGGAATCCGGGGTCCATCGGTGAAGGAAACACTTCTGCGACTTAATTTCGTCGGAGTTGAAGTCGTCGCCGGAGTAGAAGTCCTCGCCGGATTTGAATTCTTCGATCAACGTTTGGAGGAGTCGATGCAGAGGGGGGACGAGGAACGGGGACCAGTGGGGACCAAAAGAGGAACCCTTTCTTTTTCTCAAAAAATTGGGTGGAAATTACCAAATTACCTCCGCTTCACGGAGAATTCGTGGTTCCGCGGAGGTCCGCGGAATTCGTGTCTATATCAGGAAAAAACATTTTTTATGACTAAATTTTTAAATTTACCCCGTTTTTTTGTCTATTTGAGGTATTTTCCCGTATATTTATATATAATATATATTTAAAAGAATAATAAAAAAAGTAAAAGTTGACTATTTCTTATGTTTTCAAGAGTAAAAAAAATAATGAATTAAAAACTAACGTGTAAAAAATGAATGATAAAAGAAATATACCCTGGTCATTCAAACATTCCATGTAAATTCATAATACTATAATAAAACGTTTCCCACGTGAGCTTTTTAACTTAATACTGTCATAAATTATACTCGCATAACACATCAAAGGTGTATCACAATTCCGGATTCCCATATAATATTCCCGCATAACACATAAAAAATTAAAAACGTATAACAATTCACACGTAACATTTCCGCATATCATATCAAATATTTATAGCAATTCCATATAATATTCCAGCATAACACATCCAAAATGTAACAATTCAGCATCAAAAGTGCATAAAAATTCTCACTTAATATTCCCACATAACACATCAAAGGTATATAAAAAAATCTCAAATAATATTCCTACATAACACATTAAAAGTGCAAAACAATGTCCACATAATATTCTTGCATAATATTCTTGCACTTCTCGCACCATTTCACTTTGTTCCTCCTCCGTTAAACTCCTTTGAACCAGACTTGATCTTCTTATTGGGCCTCGTAGACCCCTCAAACTTCCTCTTTTCGCCAACCTCAATCTTGTTGGCAACTCTTCCCTTAATCATATCCTCCACAGACTTGGCTGCCCAGATAGCTGCCTCCAGAGTAGGTGTCTGACGCACTGGCACCGCGTACTCCCATGGAAGTCCCTTTGCGTACTTGTCGATTTTTGTCATCTCATCCGGAACAAGACGCAAGGCGAACTCCATCTTCTATGTGAAGTTGTTGGTGTATTCATCAATTGACATGCTTCCTTTCTTCAAGGTCAGGAACTGATTCTCTAGCTCGAGCAGGTTTTGGGCTGAGCAGTACTTGCGTTTGAACTGCACCAAAAACTCTGCCCATGTCAGTTGCAGGGGCTCATTGGGGCTCAGAGTCTTCCCCAGGGTATTCCACCAGCGCACATCACCTCCTCGGAATTGACGTACTGCAAAGGTGGTCTGTAACTTGCCTCTGCAACCACACGTCATGAAAGCTAACTCTATCTCCGAGATCCAATCCATGACTCTGATCGGATCTTTCTTTCCAGTGAAAGTCGATGGATGACAAGTCAGAAAATCCTTGTACTTGCATCCATTCCTCTCGACTCCGTCATACTGGTTGTTTTGTCGAACTATTGGTGGGTTGGCTTGACCAACAGTCCCACTGTAGTTCCCTCCTTCTAACTGCCCATCATTCAATTCGGGCTGTTCAACTGGCATTGTAAGTTCGTCCCTATTTTCATGCAACATTTGCCTCATCTCTTCCAGTTGTTCAGCCAACATAGCCCGTATCATGGCTTGTACTCCGGCCATTGTAATTGGCTAAGGAGCATCTGCTATAACAGGTATTTGTTCAATCACTGGTGGTTGATTCCTGTTCCCATTTGCATTCCCGGCTCCACTACGGGTTCTTGCCATTTCGATCTATATACTAAATCAGACGTTCGGTGTGCAATGACGAGAATTAAGATAGGAAAGATTTTATTTACGATCGACGTGTAATTCTTCCTATTTCTCCGAAAAGTTATATGCCAGTTCTAATACCGTAATTAAACGTTTAGAAATCTGAACACATAAAGTTTCTAGATCCGGTCGGCAACAGACAATAGATCCGATCATACAATGCATATCATAAATCATTTAGCACATAAAAGCATGTTAGGAATTTTCCCTAAATTAGCTAGTGCTTGTGTCTATTCAGGTGCTATACCTAAATTTTATTAGACACACTCCTCACAATCCTTGCTTAGCATTCTAAGTTTAAGTCTAGAAATAAATCCATATTCCTAGTTCGCTTAAACTAATGCTCTGATACCAACTGTGACATCCCCATTTTCACGGCCATAAAAGACCGATTTTGTTTATGCTTTATAAAAATCAGAATACCTCTTTTAATAAAAATGTTGCGGAATTTGTTCCCAATAAAACATGATAAATACGTTATCAAAGCATTTCCGAAGAAAAGTCTTTTTATTCATTTTAAAACATTTGGGATGTCATCGTCAATACAGAAACATAAGCATAAACAAAACTTACATTCATTATCACTAGTGATTTATATCTCCTTAATCTATCAGTGTAATGTGACTTCATATCAACACCTGTGATATAAATAAACTGAGTAGGTCAGGTTGGGAAACCTGGTGATTACATAGGGTTTTCAACCCACAATAAATAAGTTTATTAACTTTATCAAACCAAACAAACCCGATTACCCGTTCCCGTTATCCTCACTTTACGTCCCTAAAACATCTAACACAAGGGACCGAGTCTAAGGACTTTCATCGAGGTGACAACACATGCTTCGGGGGTTCCTCAGCAATTCATGTCAAATAAGGAAACCATGTGGGGGATGGAGTACTGCTCGTGAGCACACAGTTCAAATAAACACCTACAGGTTGCGAGCCTGCTAGCGTTCCACTAGACTGTCTAGAATAGTCCGTGGTCGTTATATATACTCCGCTAGATGACTAGATCATCAATAACATCTATAGCGAGGCCTCTCATTATTTTATTTGGTCACACAGCAACTATTACATCTACCCATGTTTTACCCAACACGTTTTATAGATATAAAATACATATACAATTTAAATCATTTAAAACGTGTATAAAAATATTTCACCCAACATAGACAGCAAGTATTCAGACAATATGCACACATAGCACGTAATTTATATTAAATACTTCATATCTATGTGTAAGATGAAAGGGACCATGCACTCACTTGAAAAGGTGGTGATTCCGAACTCAGATAGCGCTTCGCTTCTTAAAAATAATTTCCTTCGACGAAACCTAGTATTATTACCACTAGAGTTTAGTATATTATTCGCCGAGACTAATTAATAGTCTAGATATTATTACTATTATATAAGCGTTAAAAAATAGTTATATAAACCATAATAATAGCCCAAGTACTTATTATAAGTTCCTAATAACGTTACTATAATTAAATAAAAGCTATATTAAAAATAACGTAGGTGTAGCTCACTTACAGCGGATTTTATAGAAAACCGGGCTTTGCTTGGAGCAGCGTTCCCGAGCCAAAAAGCTCTTCTTCTCGGAGCCGTCGAGTACTCCGGGGCTTCCGCCTCGTGCTAGGGAGGTTCCCTAGGCTTTTCGGGGGGTTTCGGGGCTAAAGAGAGGTTCTAGAGAGAGAGTAAAGAGAAGAAAGAATAGGAAATGTGTGAAGAAAATGAGGGTGGGAGAGGTTCTATTTATAGGGTGAAAAATGGTTGAACTTGGTGCCACATGTCACCATCTAGTGGCAAGACTTGGGGAGAAAGCAATGGCCAAGATTGTGCCACATCACCCATTTTCGCACAACACACTTCCGACTTCTAAAATCCGTAACTTTCACATAGGACCTCCGTTTTTGACGTTCTTTATATCCACGCGTAGGTAAAAATAATATCTACAACTTTCATTTTGACTCCGTCGGCTAATTCTCGACCGATCTTAAATTTAACTGTACGAGGAGATTATATTGTTAAATGTCCGCGTAAAATTCATAACTTCTACATACGGACTCTGTTTTCGTCTTTCTTTTTACCGTAGAGTTCCTATTAATGAGATATTCAATTCTCATTTTTGGTCGCGTACGCTAAAAACCGCTCGATCTAAAATTTGAGTTTCGGGCTGTGCACTGTTAAGCCAAATCATGGAAAATTCATAACTTCCTCATACGAAGTCAGATTTGGGCGTTCGTTTTTTTGTATGTTCTTGGTTTAACGTGTACTACAACTTTTGTTTAGATTTATAAGGCTAAAAAGTCCTCCATCGTAAATTCACTATTTACGTCTCCCGGTGTCGTGCCGGTTTTGCCGTAAAACTTCGACGGACCATAACTTCTTCGTTATAACTCGGATTTCAACGTTCTTTATATGTACAGAACCCTTGAGACGTATTCTACAACTTGGTTAAGATTATTTATTCTAAATAACATTTTGTCAAAAAGTCGTTTTCGACCCCTATTATCTCTAAATTGACTAGCCCGGATCTACGGGCGTTACATATATATACACTTGTAACATGAACACAACGACACAATTAGCTGACACCTTAGACTCCTTGAGCTATTGAAACACTTGTACTCATTTCTTCATAAT